AGGCCCCCAGTGTGGGTTCAGGCCCCCAGTGTGGGTTCAGGCCCCCAGTGTGAGTTCAGGCCCCCTAGTGTGGGTTCAGGGCCCCCAGTGTGGGTTTCAGGCCCCCAGTGTAGGTTCAGTACCCCCAGTGTGGGTTCAGGCCTCCAGTGTGGGTTCAGGCCCCCCAGTGTGGATTCAGTGCCCCCAGGGTGGATTCAGTGCCCCCAGGGTGGGTTCACGCCCCTAGTGTGGGTTCAGTGCCGCAGTGTGGGTTCAGTGCCGCAGTGTGGGTTCAGGCCCCCTAGTGTAGGTTCAGGCCCCCAGTGTGGGTTCAGGCCCCCAGTGTGGGTTCAGTGCCGCAGTGTGGGTTCAGTGCCACAGTGTGGGTTCAGTGCCGCAGTGTGGATTCAGTGCCGCAGTGTGGGTTCAGGCCCCCAGTGTGGGTTCAGTGCCGCAGTGTGGGTTCAGGCCCCCAGTGTGGGTTCAGGCCCCCAGTTTAGTTTTCGTTGTTTTAGATCAGTTCCCAGTGTGGGTTCAGGCCCCCAGTGTGAGTTCAGGCCCCCCAGTGTGGGTTCAGTGCCCCCAGTGTGGGCTCAGTGCCCCCAGTGTGGGTCCAGGCTCCCCAGTTTTGGTTCAGTGCCCCTCAGTGTGGGTTTAGTGCCCCCCAGTGTGGGTTCAGGCCCCCCAGTGTGAGTTCAGGCCCCCCAGTGTGGGTGTAATGCCCCCAGTGTGGGTTCAGTGCCCCCAGTGTGGGTTCAGTGCCCCCTAGTGTGGGTTCATGCCCCCATTTAGAACAACAAGAATAGACAAAATGGCCACTAACAATCATTTTGTCAAAGTCGACTAATCAGGGATGTTTCCGTTCTGAAGACCTGACAGGACACTCAACAATACTAAATGGGGGGAAACAAGACAACAAGAGCAACAGATGATGATTGACAGATACACATTGCCAGAGAACAGTAACGAACCTCAGCCTTAGCTTCCATATGTCCAGCTTTGGTGAGAGAAAAGGCTAGAGCCAGCACTTGTCTGTTCTTCAGTCGGGCAAGCATGTCCAACATGTTGTCTATCAGAGCATCCTTCTCTTCTACACGTTCACTACACGTTTGGGATTTTGCTTTCAGTTCATTCACCTTCCACTCCAGATGCTGCCTTTCTGCCATCATTCTGATCGACAAGAGATGTAGCAATGAGGTTTATGTAAGCTAATGTCATACAGTGGTGTCGGGGTTGTCATTTGTTATACTTCTTCTAATCGACAAGAGATGTAGCAGTCACGTTTATGTAAGCTAATGTCATACAATGGTGTCGAGGTTGTCATTTGTTATACTTCTTCTAATCGACAAGAGATGTAGCAGTCACGTTTATGTAAGCTAATGTCATACAATGGTGTCGGGGTTGTCCCTTGTTATACTTCTTCTGATCGACAAGAGATGTAGCAGTCACGTTTATGTAAGCTAATGTCATACAATGGTGTCGGGGTTGTCATTTGTTATACTTCTTCTGATCGACAAGAGATGTAGCAGTCACGTTTATGTAAGCTAATGTCATACAATGGTGTCGGGGTTGTCATTTGTTATACTTCTTCTGATTGACAAGAGATGTAGCAGTCACGTTTATGTAAGCTAATGTCATACAATGGTGTCGGGGTTGTCATTTGTTATACTTCTTCTAATCGACAAGAGATGTAGCAGTCACGTTTATGTAAGCTAATGTCATACAATGGTGTCGGTGTTGTCACTTGTTATACTTCTTCTGATCGACAAGAGATGTAGCAGTCACGTTTATGTAAGCTAATGGCATACAATGGTGTCGGGGTTGTCATTTGTTATACTTCTTCTGATCGACAAGAGATGTAGCAGTCACGTTTATGTAAGCTAATGTCACACAATGGTGTCGGGGTTGTCATTTGTTATACTTCTTCTGATCGACAAGAGATGTAGCAGTCACGTTTATGTAAGCTAATGTCATACAATGGTGTCGGGGTTGTCATTTGTTATACTTCTTCTGATCGACAAGAGATGTAGCAATGAGGTTTATGTAAGCTAATGTCATACAGTGGTGTCGGGGTTGTCACTTGTTATACTTCTTCTGATCGACAAGAGATGTAGCAGTCACGTTTATGTAAGCTAATGTCATACAGTGGTGTCGGGGTTGTCACTTATTATACTTCTTCTGATCGACAAGAGATGTAGCAGTGAGGTTTGTGTAAGCTTATGTCATACAGTGGTGTCAATGATGTCACTTGTTATACTTCTTCGGATCGACAAGAGATGTAGCAGTCACGTTTATGTAAGCTAATGTCATACTGTGGTGTCGCGGTTGTCACTTATTATACTTCTTCTGATCGACAAGAGATGTAGCAGTCACGTTTATGTAAGCTTATGTCATACAGTGGTGTCAAGGCTGTCACTTGTTATACTTCTTCGGATCGACAAGAGATGTAGCAGTCACGTTTATGTAAGCTTATGTCATACAATGGTGTCAGGGCTGTCACTTGTTATACTTCTTCTGATCGACAAGAGATGTAGCAGTCACGTTTATGTAAGCTAATGTCATACAGTGGTGTCGGGGTTGTCACTTATTATACTTCTTCGGATCGACAAGAGATGTAGCAGTCTCGTTTATGTAAGCTAATGTCATACAGTGGTGTCGGGGTTGTCACTTATTATACTTCTTCGGATCGACAAGAGATGTAGCAGTCACGTTTATGTAAGCTAATGTCATACAGTGGTGTCGCGGTTGTCACTTATTATACTTCTTCGGATCGACAAGAGATGTAGCAGTCACGTTTATGTAAGCTAATGTCATACAATGGTGTCGGGGTTGTCATTTGTTATACTTCTTCGGATCGACAAGAGATGTAGCAGTCACGTTTATGTAAGCTAATGTCATACAGTGGTGTCGGGGTTGTCACTTTTTATACTTCTTCGGATCGACAAGAGATGTAGCAGTCACGTTTATGTAAGCTTATGTCATACAATGGTGTCGGGGTTGCCACTTATACTTCTTCGGATCCACAAGAGATGTAGCAGTGAGGTTTGTGTAAGCTTATGTCATACAATGATGTCAGGGGTTCACCGGCTGTCAGCTCCAGTGGAAAGTTCTGGCTGTTCACTTACTTATGGACTTTGATATTGTTATAAAATTTTTGTTTGCGCATCTCGTCAACTCATTTGTCTTATTAGTATAAAGACTGCTTTAGTAAGTTCTGGGGCCTGTTTGGAGAGCCGGGGGGGGGGGGGGGGAGAGGGGGGGGGGGTGGTGAAAATAGATCTACTACTTCCGTAAAATGCATGTCGTAGAAGGTGAAGAATTAGGGATTTTTCACCGGCAGTCGGAAAGCATCTGTCTGAAAGATAAGGAACTAACAGTCTGCATACAAGTGAGATCTGCGAAATGGATGTGCACGCAGATTTTAAGTGGACGAACAACCAGAACTTTCCACCGCTAAGAAGAAGAAGAAGTATGCACACTGTTGTTTCTTCGACTCTCAGGACGTTGCACTTTTATTTCGAGGGAACCAACCTTAATTAGTTGTCTTTTACGTCATACTTACTCGGATTATACGGATTATAACATTCACCACATGAAGCCTTACTAAATAAACACAAGATTCCGACAGAACAGTTAACCCACCAGAAAGGATAGGATAGTATTCCGACAGAACAGTTAACCCACCAGAAAGGACAGAATATTATTAAGACAGGCACACCCAATACTGGTTTGTTAGTATTGCCAATCCAGGACCACAGTCTGAGGGTTTGACACACAGTGACTAAAAGAGCCACTTTTCGGAAATCCAACAGGAACGAATCGCAGACACCCGATTCAGCCGTATGAAACAGTTACACTAGACCACTCTACCGCTACAGGAAATAACCTACCCGGCTATCCTCCGTATAAGGGTCCCAAATTATCGAGGCCGAAAATATACCCTAACGGGACCTCAGTCACGTGTCAATCGGGCACTTCCAGCGACTTCAATTGCGCCACCGCAGAGAGTATCCCCAACGCCGCTCTCACGGCGTGGATTGGGGCTAAACTAGATGGCTGGGATTTACGAGCAGCAGCTACCGCATATCCTGAAGCTTCCTTCATTTTATTTGCTCGTGATCTTTAGCCCCAGCCATCTTTGAGCCCCGTTGGGGAATCCTCTGCGGCGGTGGTAACTCCCGGCGCAATTCGGGGGTGGTATACTCCCGGAAGTCGCAATGCGGTGGCGTATAGCCCCCGGAAGTTCGCAATTCGACGGTGGCGGTATAGCCCCCGGAAGTTCGCAATTCGACGGTGGTGGTATAGCCCCCGGAAGTTCGCAATTCGACGGTGGTGGTATAGTCCCCGGAAGTTCGCAATTGACACGTGACTGAGGTCCTGTTAGGGTATATTTTCGGCCTCGATAATTTGGGACCGTTTGGAATAGCCACCTTCCCATTGTGTGGGAAGAGGATCAGTTACCAAAAAACTAATTAGTTTTTTTTAATTGCACAGAAAACAGCTAGGGAAATATTACGACCCACGAACTAATCCAACATAGTGCTAATGTAATATCAACACAGGCATACATCCAGACAGACAGACTTACTCTATATTCTGCAAATGGTGACACTGCCTCTGTGTTTCCAAAGCCTGGTTAATGATCCTGTTGATATCCGTCTGCAGGATTAGACAGACAATTCAGATCTGTGTCTGTTGTGTGAAACATGGTCATCTTGGGACAGACAGAGACAGGCAGCAACAAGATAGACAGACGTAGTAGCACAACTGTCTTCATAAACCAATTTCAGATTGATGTCATTACTATCTCGGATGTGGATACCACGGCTGCTCCCCGAAGTGCTTTTCCAGTGTTGACAAATGTCAATTTGTGTCTGTTGTGTGAGGCGTTGAGGATAGCGGATTGCGGAGAGGAATGATCGTCCACTCCAGGCGGCAAGGAACTTGATATTGATGATGTCTGCATGCACAGTTCGTAATCCATAAGGGAAAAAGTTGGTTGGTTTGTTCGTTCGTTCTAACTATCTGTACATGCACCTACCTGTAAATCTACCTACCTGTATGTCAGTCTTCAACTTCCCTAGCCACAGTTCCATTTTGCTACAGAGATCAGCGACAGCAGCCTCGGTGACACAGGTAAGCAAAGGGTGTCTAGTTCTAGAGGTCTCTTTGGACACGTTTCCATGACCTTTCCTACCTAGGAACAAAATATCGTAGAAGTAATCATAAGAGCTAGAACAGAAGAAGAAGACGAAAAAACACAACTATCATGTTGTCTCATCTCTCTCTCTTTCTCTCTCTCTGTCTGTCTCTCTCTGTCTCTCTCTCTCTGTCTCTCTCTCTCTCTCATACACCCCCCCCGCCACCTATCCACACACACACAGACACATACAGCCAGTGTCTACTTACACACATTTACTTTCAGAGACTTCTGTTGTGGAGCGGTTGCACTCAACATGGGAACTTGTCTCTCTCTCTCTCTCATACACCCCCCCCCCCCCGCCACCTATCCACACACACACAGACACACACAGCCAGTGTCTACTTACACACATTTACTTTCAGAGACTTCTGTTGTGGAGCGGTTGCACTCAACATGGGAACTTGCTGACCACAGCACAAGGAGTTTGCATTCGTGTTTTCAGCAACACCAGATCCCTGGGTACTCGAACACATCCCTGTGACTGGTCAGAAAACAACAAACAAGACAGCACCGGAGGACCCAAGAAAGACTGCACAATCCAACGTACACTTACATTGAAAAAGAAAAAGTAACAAACTGTTTCTATGCACTGTTTTGGGGACTAAGTGTGAAAACACAAAGAAAACATGGCGGTGGTGGTGGGGGGCTTTATGGTTTTTTAGGATCCCTGGGGAGGGGTATTTTCATGGAGACCTGGGAAAGAAGCTTAAGCTTTGTTTAAGTACACAGTAATACTACTACTATGGTAGTTATTATCATTATTGTTACGTCATGAATGACATATATTTAAAATAATATGAAATGTATAAACAGACACTTAAAACAAAGCACTACTTAGTTCTTTTGCAAATTTTCTAATGTGGTGCAGCCTTACCCTAAATAATTTTTGCGATGTAGGGGGTGGAAACTCAAGGATCCTAGACTCCCACGTTTCAGCGCCCCTGGGGGATATATAAGGCTAGAGTCATATGTGTAAGAGTAATCGTCACTCGTTAGGTGAAGTGTTTAACATCAAGCCGGCTGTCTTTACTTCCCAGAACATTATCCTGTTTATTGTTTGAGCTCCGTCGACCCAGGAGACGAAGTCAATTATTAAAAAAAAAAAAAAAATCCTCTACGATTCAGATCTGAACCCAAAATATTTGCGCCAAGAGGCGAAGGTCTAGTCATTGTGCTAGGTAGTGCGGCTCTTATATTCACATAACATAATGTCTGCCCGAATTCATCTTTTTATTCTTTTGCTTTTTTGCCGATTTGGATGCCAAGGCGTACAGTATAAGGTTCCGTTTTTTTTTTTTTTTTTGGCTTTTTTTTTTTTTTTTTTGGCCGCCTCTACTAGAGACATGGTTTTGTTGTAGAGTTTCTGTGATGTTATCTTTCCATCTTGTTCTTGGTCTACCTTGCGTTCTACGTTCTTCTCCTCTTTGGGTGAATGTTTGGTATTGCGGTAGAAAACAATCTATGCCAGCGGGCAATGCATTTGATTTGCTATCTTTGTATGTAATTATGAACTGGTTCTGTGCCAGTTTTTTCTGGTATGATCTCATTCCTGATTTCTCTTCTGGTCACTTCCGCAGCCCTTCTCAGACATCTCGTTTCCATGGTTACCAATTTGTGTCCGTTGATCTAGTAAAACCAGAAGTACACATAAGCGTGATATAGTGTCTATGATAAAGGATGCGACAGCATGCGTTGAGATCAGTAATTTTTACACGTTTTCTTTGTGTTAGTGTTCTTGCCTCCCCCCCCCTTCCTTCCCCCCTTCCCCTTTTTACGCTACACCATGGATAAACTGTAGCATTACTGGAACATGTAACGAACCTGGGCCCAGCTACACACTTATTAGTGACGAAGTCGGGCCAGGACACTATCACTATCATTCATGCGTCAACCTTTGAGACGCGCAAGTTTTAGTGGCAAAGCAGTTAGCTTGGGGCGCCCGATTGTATTCTATCCACGGTCTTACCGGCGACCACGCGTGCTCTGTTTACAGGGTGCGAGTGCTTTTAACTCTTTGAGTCCCAGGAGGCTTAGCATCAGAGGCCCAAAAGGTATTCAAAAGAGACATAAAATCGGTGCATACTGCGTTCATTGGGCTTCTAGATAGGAACCTATGAACGTATGATGTTCCTTAGGACTGAAAGAGTTAACGACCCCATAACATGTACAACTGGCCCTAACCCTCTCCCCAACCACACACACACACACATTGAACCTAGGTTCCACAAGAGAATACATTCTACATCCCGTGGTTTCAAACTTCTTAACATTTTGCGGTGGCCTGCAAAACTCAGTGTTGCTGCAGACACGCCACTACCTTCGTCGTCGCCCACCAACGCTGACAGCTGGAATAAAATCATTTCCTACCCAAAATCCTAGACGACTGACATATACTCCCAACAAACACTAAATCAGCTTACAAGTAAGAACGCAATATGGGCGGTCGCTGCTCACAGAAGAATGATTAACACTCAAAGCATAAACTTTGTGAATACAGCAGCACACCGGGACACCCCTCTAACCTTGAGCAACGTTGATCAGCCTGAGCAAGTATCAATCAAAGGTCACCTGGTATGTAGATAGGCCCCAGTACGTTCCAGTAATGCATTACCTACTTCTAAATGTAGATGTTACACATCTCTTTAACACTCTCGACTCCCGACTTACCGTGGCACTGGTCAGCAGGCTTGGGACAGCAATCTGCAGCCTCAGACTGTCCAGTGAGCAGGTCAATGGAAGGTGTGTTTTCGGACACAAATGATGCTGGTATTCCGAACACATCTTGAAAGTAATCTGGATACTGTTGCTAGATAATTGCAATAAAAAAAAAGTATTATGGGTGCTGTTGCTAAATAGTTGTAACACATGAAAGTAAAGGGTCTACAGTTGTTAAATCGGCCAGCAGCTCTAAATGATAACGATATCTTTGTGATAGCGCCCTGAACCGCCTCAATACCGCGTCTCCCTATGTTTAGTATATCACTGAGTTTTACCTGCAGATCATCGGCGACAGGGTTGCCGACTGGCTCACCGGTAGACGACTTCAGTCAAGACATTATTTGGGTCTGTCTCCTTCGATCGCATAAACACCACAGGAGTCCATTTTAGGGATCTTGGTGGCGTGCAGTGCTAAGATATATATATATGGCGCACAAAAACCTAGTCACAACTATAACCTAAAGCTCCCCCTTCGGGAAGGCTGGCTGATCATGACGATTTGTTTTCCAGAAAAGCACACACCTACCACCTACCTGCAGGTATACGGTCAGTGAACAAGTTGGGGAGATTGTAGGCAGAGTTGGCTCGCACATTCTATTGTGATCCGTCATATACTGCCTCTATGGCACACATCAGCCATGCTACTGTAGAATCTGAGACCTCTGCAAGTGGAGTCGCCGTTCACTGTACCTGATTTACAAAAAAAATACAATGAGACAACATCAGCAGGGCTTTATTTTTTCTGACGTTTCGTAATGGAATGCTGTACTGGTACCTTTTTTGGCATAATTTGTTTGCGAGCACTACAGTAATAAAAATTTTGTGGAGCGTACTGGTAAGTTTGATGAAAGCACCGCCACCCTTTTTGCCAAGCCCTGAATATCAGTAACACACACACTCCCCCGTGTGGGTTCCGGGGTCCCATTGTGGGGAAACAAGAATAGACCCACTGCCTCCTCAACAAGCATGTCGTAATGGTCGATTAATTGGGGAGCTTCCTTTGAAGTCGGAGCGCATCTGCGGGAGAGGCAAGAAACCAACAGTCTGTATTCAAGAGAATATCTGTAAAACTGATGCACACGCAACACTCAGGTTCTGGATCAGGACTGCAGTTCCGTAGTGGACGAGCAGCCAGAACCTTCCGCCAAAGTTTACAGCTATTGAACGCGAAGAAGAAGAAGAAGTAACACACACACACACACACTAGAGACTGAGGGTGCCCTCCTCAATTTGTAAGGAGGCTTATTTTCGTGTAGATCCAGCGGTTCCGTTATGCTGATGGGGCCACAGGGTGGGGGGGGGGGGGGTGTGAACGGGTGATGTATGCGATCGGGAGATGCGTCGGACACTTGCCAAGTATGTAGGATTATTTATAAATGTCAATCCTCGACACATACACACAAGGCTCCGCTCCCCTGGCTGACGAACCACGGCCGCGAAATCTCATCGGCACGCCACATGCTGATGGCTGCAACTGTGCCAATCCCCAGCGCACCCTGGGTCGTCCTGGAGGTCTGATTCAGCCTCCCATGCCTGCATGGTGGCCGATTTTCCCCATTCTGCATACATGTCCAAACCGTCAGGTTCTGGGTATCAATATCTTGAAAACTTGGTCACTTGGACCACCTGACAGAGGCCTGCAGCTTTCTAAGCCTGAACTCATCAGATGGTACATAGGTAGAGCACCCTCGAAAACCAGTCACCCATGACCAATTCACACGAGTTACAACAGAATAACATATATTCTTAAAACTGCCACACGACAAAGTCCATGCGTCCATATGACTTGAGCAATTGGCGCAAACATCCTCGCACTTAGTCTGACTAAAAGCCACTGACTCAAGTACCAGGCACTCCGGCCAACAGCGGTCAGCTGGATGTGGATCTCACATTTCCCACACAACTAGCCATGAATGCCCGTGTATATCCATGCTTCACAAAGCCCTAGCACCGTTAACTTCTTGCATACCAAGTGATTTTTGCATACAACGGGTGGAGAGGGGGGGGGGGGCATAGATAAACTGCCTGTCACAAGTCTGTAAAAGGCTACTATTTAAGGGTGTTTTATCGAAGTCGGAGTTCATTGGCCTCAGATGCGATTAACCAGCACTCTGGGCACAAATAAGCCAGATCGGTTCAAAAGAGGTGCATGCTAAAAAAAACACAACCCAACTTAAGTCCAGAAGTGGACGAACAACAAAAGCTTTGCGCCGAAATCCATAACTGGACCTTTGTGCTGGAGTTGACTGCTGGTGAACACGAAAAGAAGAAGTAACCCCTACCCCAGTTGGTTGGTATAATGTCCAGCTTTCATTGAAACCTGGCATATTATTTCAGATATGTATTTTTATTCAGCAATTTATTATTATTACACAAATTAAACATAAATTTTTTTGGTTCCAAGCTTTAGCCATCTGAGCCTCCTCCTTCCCTAGAAACAATTCGGTAAAAATTGTGTTTGTGTCGTCCAACTGCTAGGACGAACATAGCGATAGAAACGGAGGCACAGTCGGGGAGGACAGTTTTATTTCTTCAAACGTTCTCCTTTGATTTGACCAGTGACATGGCGGTGGCACTGTGGAAGGGGTTAAAGGCCCCGTCATATTACATTTTCAAAAACAACAGTGGGGGCACTGCAGCCAACCATCACTGTCGAGACGGCCCTCTTTTTTTTTTCACATACAAGGAAACAAATATGCTTATCTACCGTCCTGAGGCTCACGTCTTCAAATCTCCTTAAAAATGAAATGGTTCTTCCGCCTCCACTCTACCGAGACTTACAGTGGGGACAATTTCCTAAGAAGTAAAGACCGCTGGTCATTGTCAGAAAGAAGTGAGTTACCGCATGCAGTAATAGGTACTAGTGATACCGTGTGTATTGTTGCACTCATACAAACTTCCTTAGCAGTTGAAAATTGAAAAGATTAGTTGATGGCGCTGCCCGGGTAAAATTGGGAGTTTACAACATCTATCCAAAGTCAGGATCCTTGTCTGTGCTACGGAGTTAGTGTACTGCGCTGAGATTTCTCGGGCTTGAGTCAGAAGTAGAACGGAGCACTTAATGGTTTACTATCCTTGTGCCATGATGTTCATGTGTCGTCTAAACCTAAACATCTTAACCTGATACCTAAAATGGTGAAAATATTGGGGTGACTGCAGTCAAGCTTATACAAGGAATTCCAGAGAAATTTGACTAAAAAGCTCAACAAAATGGGAAAGCAGAAAAACGTGAACAAAACAACACAACGTAACGGTCGAAACGTTACGTTGTGTTGTTTAGTTCACGTTTGTCTGCTTCCCCATTTTGTTGAGCTTTTTGAATGAATGAATGAATGACTTTCTACCCCACCAGGACATCACACAAGCGATAAACACCCGATGACACAAAGTGCCACCATGCGGATGAACGCCGTGGAGAGGTCCCAGAAACCGCGTTCAGACATTTGGCCATATTTATGGCCTGCCTATATTGCGGCCCCTGGCAAAAGCCAGAGTGGGGCTTCAAATAACGAAAAATTACGTCCTAAAAAGGACGTATGAGATTAACAATTGAGCTTTTTAGTCAAATTTCTCACTGTTCTATCGCAGCTTTTGACTAGATAAACAACATGAAACAGCAAACGATGCTCTGAAAATACGCCCGAATAATCTATCCTTTTTTTTTCTGTCCATCCTACTGTTGCTTGTTTAGTTGACGTCTGCTGCTCAGCTGACATTTGTGTTTAGTTGCAAACAAAACACTCGTCTACCTGATGGTCTTCAGCCATTTGCAGGAACCGTTGTTAGGCTGCAGGGGCGTAACTGTTCATGTACATCTTTGGCACTAACAACACAAGAGTTGTCTCCCCAAAGCGTTATGGTTGTCTCTGATAAATAGTGTACGCTGTTATTTGGAGACCGTTAACGTCCAAGGTATATATGAATTGTGTCTAAACTGTGTATCGTCTGTGGCGCCTTCTCTTCTTCTTCTTCTTCTTCTTCTTCTTCTTCTTCTTCTTCTTCCTGTATGTTTGTATCTATGTATGTATGTTTGTGTGTACGTATGCCTGTGTGTATGTGTGTATGCATGTTTGTTTATATGTATCTGTGTATGTATGTATGTAATGTATGCATGCAGGTTTGTGTGTGTAAGTGAGTGGGTGAGCGTGTGTATGCAGGTGTATGTATGCACGCGCGGGTTTTTGCATGCACTTTACAACTCATGCTTTTGTGTTCTTTTATAATATTCATAATATGCATAACATCATATGATCATAACATGCTTTATTAGTAAAATACAACTGCTGTGCGAAAGATGGTTGACTGGAAGGGCCGAATGTAAGACGGGCCTGCGTGCCCAATTTGTGACCCTTTGAAAATAAAGTTCGTTCGTTCGTTCGTTCGTTCTTCTTCTTCTTCTTCTTCTTCTTCTTCTTCTTCTTCTTCTTCTTCGCGTTCACCAGCTGTACACTCTGGCGGAAAGTTCTGGCTGCTCGTCCACTACTGAACTGCAGTCCTGCTCCAGAACCTGAGTGTTGCGTGTGCATCAGTTTTACAGATCTCATTCTCTTGAATACAGACTGTTGGTTCCTTGCCTCTCCGGCAGATGCACTCCGACTTCAAAGGAAGCTCACAAATTAGTCGACTCTTACGACATGCTTTTGGGGAGGCAGTGGGTCTATTCTTGTTTTCCCCACAATAGGGCCCCGGAACCCACACAGGGGGTGCCTTCTCAACGCATGGGTACGTTAGGCAGGGCCCCACAAGTATCACTCATTCAGTCGATCAATCAGTCAACCAGATGCTGTCGCCACATTGAAGTCTCACTAACTTTCTCGTCTTGATTGTTGTACACTTTTTCATACTGGTCTTCGTCTATTTCTTGATGTTTTCCTTCCACTTGTATCACTGTCTACATTTTGTAATACCGATTTCTGCCTACAGTATAGTTTTTAGAAGTGTGTTAAGTCTTTAAGTTATGGAGTGACAAAAAAGAGATACAATCTGGAACGAGGTTATACGAGATAAAGTTGGCACAGAACCAATTCTAAATTACATACAAAGACAGGAAATCAAATGTTTTTCCCACTTGGAGAGAATGCCTTCTGATGCTATACCAGAAAAGGTATATACCAAAAGAGGAGAGGAACGTAGAGCAAGAGGCAGACCAAGGACAATGAACATCAGAGAAACTCTACAGCACTACGATGTGTCTATGGCCGAAGCAGCCAGAAGAGCAAAACGCAGGACCTTTGTTTGCACATTTCTTATTATTTCAGGTATATATATATATATATATATATATATATATATATATATATATATATATATATATATATATATATATATATATATATAAAATTTATATATATATGCCATTTTAAATATTATTATTATGGACTTGAACAGGGTTTAGGTCCCACAGAGGCCCCTGCTTAGAAAACTCAAGCAGTCACCCCGAGGCCCCCATCTCTCTCCGAACCTCCCAATGTTTTATTTGTGTTATCGCTTCTGCTTCTGACTGTATGTATTCACTTTAGCGATTCATCTCAACATGTCGTGTTTGTGTGGCAGCACAGCTTGTATCGGGAAATAGGAATTCGTTTATTATGTATAGTTCGGCATGCATCAG